TAATAATAATAATAATAATAAATACATGTAGTATTTGACTGAATTACATTCAGCAATAATTGTAATTTCATCATAATATTCTAGGTTTTGAGTATCAGATTTTGTTATGTACCAATACTCATACTTGACTTCCATCCAAAGATTTCGATAAAGTTGTTCAGCAATAATCGAAGATAAAATGAACACAAGACACAAGAATGCCATTTTAGTTATATTCATTATTAATTGTAATTACAATATTCAACACCTAGAGCACCAAACTGTATTATGTACAAATACTTGTGCTTGGCATAGATTTGAAGATTTCAAAACTGTTATGACAAATACAAAATATGAAATAAATGCAATGCACAAAAATACAATGTGACATTTTCATTGAAATTATATTCCTTAACACAGTGTTTCTCAATCTGGGGGTCAGGACCCCTGGGGAGGTCACAAGGGCGTTTCAGAGGGGTCGCCAAAGACCATTGGGAAACAAGTATTTCTGATGGTCTTAGGAACCTTTTTGGCAGAGAAGGCTGAAGATCTATCCGCCACTATATCTCTATCATAGGATCCTCTCAGCCAAGGGGAGGGCTGTTTCTGAGACTCCAAGCGGGGAGGAGACAGCAGACGTGTTCAGTGCATGGCAGTGTGGTGCGAATGTGCGGGTGAGGGAAATTGTGCGAGGCTGGAGGGAGGTTCATGCCAGAGAGTCCCTTCAAGGCATGGAGGTTCTGTGTGTGAAGTGTGGCACAGTTCTATTGTTGGAGGGGTTCAGAATGCTCTTTGATTGTAGGTGAACTATAAATCCCAGCAAGTACAACTCACAAATATTAAGATCTATTTTCCCCAAACTCCATCAGTGTTCATATTTCGGCATATTGAGTATTCGTGCCAAGTTAGGTCCAGATCTATCATTGTTGGATATAGGTGAACTACAACTCCAAAACTCAAGATCAATGCCCACCAAACCCTTCCAGTATTTTCTGCCGGTTGTGGGAGTTCTGTGTGCCAAGTTTAGTTCAATTCCATCATTGGTGGAGTTCCAAATGCTCTTTGATTGTAGGTGAACTATGAATCCCAACAACTACAAATCCCAGATTACAAAATCAATCCCTCCCAACCATACCAATTTGGATGTATCAGGTATTTGTTCCAAATTTGGTCCAGTGAATGAAAATACATCTTGTATATCAGATATTTACATTAGGATTAATAACAGCAGCAAAATTACAGTTGTGAAGTAGCAACAAAAATAATTTTAAGTTTGGGGGTCACCACAACATGAGGAACTGTGTTAATGGGGCGTGACATTAGAAAGATTGAGAAACACTGCCTTAACATTTTAATTGCAATATTTGAGTTGTAAAAAACAGAGTCTTCTGTGTGCAAATTCTCTTAAGACACTTAGATCTGAAAATTTCAAAGTCATTGTGCAAAAGCAATAATTAAGAAATATTACAGTGCACAAAAGTAAAGCACAATCAACCTTGATGTTATTAATTATTTGTATGGTTGACTGAATTACACTGGGCTTGCAAAAATGTGTACATCTTCAATCTATATAAATAAAAATATAATGTTTGTTTGTGGGATTAACAGAACTCAAAAACCACTGGACAAATTGACACCAAATTTGGACACAATACACATATTAGGCCAACGAGTGACTATCACTCATAAAACACTGAAAAACACAGCGGAAGAGACTTAAAAAGCCAAAAAATAAAAATATACATTACAACACATGCGCAAAACCACATATATACACATATACACAAATATACACACTCATATACACATATGCGTATACACACACAAAACACATATACACAGACTGGGCCACAGCAATGTGTGGCAGGGGACGGCTAGTCTATATAAATAAAAATGTAATGGTTGTTTGTGGGATTAACAACTCAAAAACCACTGGACAAATTGACACCAGGTTCGCAGCTTGGGAGTGATCCTGGATTCATCGCTGAGCCTGGAAGCCCAGGTCTCGGCAGCCGTGGTCAGGGGAGCTTTTGCACAATTAAAGTTTGTGCGCCAGCTGCACCCGTACCTTGGGAAGTCTGACTTGGCCACGGTGGTCCACGCTCTGGTTACATCCCGTCTAGACTACTGCAACGCTCTCTACATGGGGTTGCCTCTGAAGACTGCCCAGAAGCTTCAACTAGTCCAACGAGCGGCAGCCAGATTGCTAACAGGAGCGGGGTACAGAGACCATACGACCCCTCTGTTACGCCAGCTCCACTGGCTGCCGATTAGCTTCCGTGCACAATTCAAAGTGCTGGTTTTGACGTATAAAGCCCTAAACGACTCCGGCCCAGTTTACCTGTCCTAACGGATTCTCCCCTATGAACCATCAAGGTTATTAAGATCTTCCGCGGGGGCCCTGCTCTCGGTCCCACCACCTTCGCAATCACATTTGGTGGGGACGAGGGACAGGGCCTTCTCGGTGGTGGCTCCCCGGCTTTGGAACTCCCTCCCACTAGAGATTAGATCTGCTCCCTCCCTCCTGACTTTCAGGAAACTAATAAAGACCTGGCTCTGGAACGTGGCTTTTGAGGACTGAATCTATAACCTTCGTCCACAAGGAAGGAGGATGTTGAACTGTGACTATGACTGTGATTGTATTGACGATTTGGCTTGGGTAATGTGATGATGTTGTTTTTACTGTACTATTTTAATCTGCAATGGTGTTGCACTCTGTTGTTTTGTATATTATTGTATTTGCATATATGCTGTAAACCGACCTGAGTCCCTCGTTCAAGGTGAGAAGGCTGGTATATAAAACTTCTAAATAAATAAATAAATTTGGACACAAGACATGTATTAGGCCAACGAGTGACTATTACTCATAAAAACACTGAAAAACACAACAGAAGAGACTCAGTTCTTGTGGGTTTTTTCGGGCTATATGGCCATGTTCTAGAGGCATTTCTCCTGACGTTTCGCCTGCATCTATGGCAAGCATCCTCAGAGGTAGAGGTCTGCATAGATGCAGGCGAAACGTCAGGAGAAATGCCTCTAGAACATGGCCATATAGCCCGAAAAAACCCACAAGAACTGAGTGATTCCAGCCATGAAAGCCTTCAACAATACATACAACAGAAGAGACTTTAAAAAGACAAAAAATAAAAAATACATTACAATGCATGCACAAAACCACATATATGTAGACAAACACACATATATACACATATATACAAATATATACACACAAAACACATATACACAGACTGGGCCACAGCAATGTGTGGCAGGGGATGGCTAGTATGCGCTAAAATTTCAAGATTTGGGAAAATTCTGAATTTTCTGTAGAAAGAGCATTCTATAGCAAAATGCTCCCAAAGGAGAGAGGGGACATGATTTTGCAGGAAGTGAAATGGGTGGGAAAATATTTATCTATGTGTTTATTAGGCCTGGGCAATCCGTGGTTCTAAATGGTTCTAAAGTAGTTACAAAACTAAAGTTCTGGTGGTGAAAATTTCAGAACTCTAACAAAACTTTCAAAATTTAATTATTATTTCATTATGGGTGATTTTTATGACAGAACCAATTAGGAACTGCCATTTATAATGAAATTTTGAGAGTTTTGTTAGAGTTCTGAAATTTTCACCACCAGAACTTTAGTTTTGTAAGTACTTTAGAACCATTTAGAACCATGGATTGCCCAGGCCTAGTGTTTATTTATTTAATTTTACTTTAAGTTTGTCCCACCTCTCACCCAATATGGGGACTCAAGGTGGCTAACAACAAATATGGCGGCCCCCGTTCCACATCAGGCCTGGCCATGTTCCAGGAAGTTGTACCATGCGAATGAGCCAATCAGGAGGCAGTTCCTGTTGAGGCCTGACCAATTGGGAATGGAATCAGATGGGCCTACAGGGCCATCTACTGGCAGGGAGGGGAAGCAAAGAGAGGGTCTTTCTCCAGCAAGTGGCTGATCTCACTGGACAGCGCTCCTGGGAATGTTGATAGTCTTCAAGCCGGATGGCTCTGCCTCCCTTACAGGAGATGGTCAATGGCACAGGCTGCTGTCCACCACTGGCCTATTGTGGTTGGAAGAGAGCTCAGTGTGGAAGGCTCTTGGAAAGGGTGGTGGCGCCCATCTCCAAAGGGCAGATACAGTATGAGCACAGAGTTGTGTACAGACCTGAATCATTTGGTGGCCCACCTCACCTTTCTCTTTGTTCTTGGTCTGCAGGGGAGCTTTGGAGATACCTTTGACTTTACGGCATCGTCCATTATCAATAATAAGTGCTTTTCTAAGACAGAGAGAGAGAAGAAAGGGGGCTGCGGATTTGCCATATAGTCTAGTACAACACACTAGGTGGTAACATCAGGAATAATAATAATAATAATAATAATAATAATAATAATAATATGTTTTATATGGTTTCGTTTTGATGGTCTCCAGCTACTTTCTGAAGGTGTGTGTGACGGAGCAATGCCTAGATGTGGAGATATATATATATATATATATCTACGCCGTTGTCGTCGTATGCTCCCCACCACCCCCTCCCCGCCACCCGCCCCGTTACGTTCAGCAGAAAAGGCTTGGCTTGATTAATATTTTCCGCTGTCCGGTAACCATGGCAATTGGGTCAGCAGATATAATACTTAATTTAATCTTCCAACTGCCTCCGTGTGCATCACCAATGTCCCGAATAATAGAAAGCTTTTGCCTCTCTCCTCGGTGGTGGTGGCGGTGCTCCTGCGGCCGCCCTCCCCTCCCTTCCTCCTCCTCCTCCTCCTCCTCCCCTCCCTCTCCTCCTTTCTTCCCTCTGTTGTCTCGCATATATCTTTMCCAGTGGCTCCCTCACATGACCCCCAAGGTATAAACTGTTTTCTTCATGCGCTATACACATCTTTAAACACACACGCACGCACACGCCACACACATACATGCATATGTATTCTGGCCACCTCTACTCCCCCTCTCCCCCCGACCGCCCACCCACCCATCCCGGCTGAGCTCCACCATCACTACCATTACTGCCGCCAGCTCACCAGCCCGGTCCCCATRCCTTCTTTCCTTTTTTCCTACCTTTCATCCCTCCATCCTTTTTTCCTTCCTTCCTTCCTCCATACCTCCCATACCCCCGCCCATTTGCCCACCTYCCCCACGGCCCCCCACTCTAGCAACCAATCTCTATGGTATGACAAGGGGAAACGAGGAAGGTGCGGAGTCTTTTCCTCGCCATCCGTCTGTGGATGAGCCACAACGGCTTCCTTCCTCCAGACCAAGGAGCCCATGTGGATTTCCCTGCCTGCTGCCTGATTGGCCGAGATGGACACCGTGCCCCCTTTGGCTCTTCAGGTGGGTCAAGTGCCTTGCTTTCTTGCCTCTCCCCCACCCTCCTGGCCACTTATGTCTCCTGCATTTGTTGTTCTCATGCTCCCTTTGATACTCCCACCCCTTTTCCTGGCTCCGATTGGACGTGCCACACATGACCTGTGTGCTGGAGTGGGTCTGGGGGCGGGTGGTGGGGCCTGGGTGGGTGGCAGGTGAGCAGGTGGGCTTCAATGGAGCGTCATGCAGAGAGGAAGCTCTGCTCTTTCCTGACCGCTTCCAAAGAATGGCGGTGAATTCCCAGTAGCAGGTGAGCAGCGTGGCATCTTCCACTGTCCTTTGCATCCAGGAACCAAAGGCAGGCTTTCTTGTTGATGGCAAAGCACAAGTGGGAGCTTTGGGGCACCCATGTATGTGCACCATTGTATCCTATTTGGGATGCTGGCCATTAGGAGTCCATCTGTTTCTTTCCCTCTTGACCGGTTCAGTTGTCAAATGTTCTTCTAGGACCTTCTAGGCCGTGTGATGCCTTGGGCAAAGAGAGGCACAGAAGACTATCTTGGGCCATGTTATGTCCAACCCCTGGTGTTTCAGTGAGGTGAAGCTGTTTTGTTGGTGTTTCCAGAAGCTGTGGGCAGCTTTTGGGATGACACCCCCCCCCTCCCCCATCACCACCAGCTACATTCGATGGCTGATTTGGCCTGGCCAAAATGCATTGTGTAAGAAGTGTTCAAGGGGCAGTGCTTCAAAACTGTCTGGCTCCAGACATCTAGGCCTGATGGACTCCCTGGGAAGACACCCCCAAGGCCTGGGAGTCAGTTGAGGTTGGAAGGAAACAGGGTGGAAAACCACCTTTGGACAAGGCCCTCAAAGAAGTGATGGACAAGGAGGGCTTTGTGGACAGATTGTAGGCAGGACATGTCTGTTCTCATGAGTGATTGACTGGAATCCTGTTGTTGTCTTACATCTATGGAAGTTCCTCTCTGGAAGCAACTGGACTGGTCTGGTACAAAATATGTGCATTCAGTTCAAAGCTGTGGAAGTGGGATTGTGCATTTGGTACCCCTGAATGTGGAAGCACATTCTGTGCGTAGATGTGCATCACATGAGGATATGTTTTACACATTTAGTTGTGTATTCAGTAGCACCTTGGCTGTCTTGGTTCAGTTGCCCATTGTTACCATTCAGTGGTTGCATCCCGCCATTATAGGAAAGCTCTGTATGCAGACGTGTGCCATATGACCCCTGTGCTGACTGTGTGGGTCGGGCTCCACCTGACCCCAATAGCAATTGGAAGATGCTTAGGGCACAGCAGTCAATAGATTGTGTTCCCCCCTCCAATACACATATTGCCCCATGATTGTTCAGTGATAGGAACACTTTGAACCCGACTGCCTCACGATGTCAAGAAGGTCCTACTTCCAAACTTTTCCTAATTAATTTCTCATTCTGTTCACAGTTTGGCTCTTGCTCTGAGCTGTTTCCTAATAATTGCAGAATTTTCAGTGGAATGTTTTACTTTAATGAATCTGGCAAAAGCGTCTTCAATTCCGTTTCATTTTGATGTTTGCTCTGATTGTCGGTTTTATCCATGATATTGGCTTGATTATTATTTGACTGATAGCTATACATTACAGAAGGCCACAAGGGATTGAGAGAGAGAGAGAGAGATTTCAATTGCTTAAATATTTCATGATGGCACATGCGTCAGGTTGGCATAGTCCATGTATGTTTCTAGCAGGACACCCAGATGTATGCAGATATATGCAGCATGGTTGCTATTTGGGTGGGTGCCCATCCTTGGTGCTTTTGAATATCCCAAAACATGTTTTTCCTGCAATCAGAGTGATATCACAATGTCAGTGTTGATATGCTTCATCCTTGTATGGTGCAAGGGTTCCTTTTCTTCTTTTCTTGCAGAAGTTTGCAGCTTGGGAGTCCTTCTGGACTCATCACTGGGCCTGGAATCTCAAGTTGTGGTAGTGACCAGGGGAGCTTTCGCACAATTAAAACTTGTGCGCCAGTTGTGCCGGTACCTTGGGAAGTCAGACTTGGCCACTGTGGTCCACGGTCATGTTACATCTAAGATAGACTACTGCAATGTGCTCTACATGGAGTTTCCTTTGAAGACTGTTCGGAAACTTCAAATAGTCCAACGAGAGGCAGCCAGGTTAATAACTGGAGTGGCTTACAGCGGGTACACAACTCCCTTGTTACACCAACTCCACTGGTTGCCAGTTTTCTACTGAGTGCAATTCAAAGTGCTGGCTTTGGTCTATAAAGCCCTAAACGGCCCCGGACCAATTTACCTGTCCGAACACATCTCCCTTTATGAACCATTGCAGAGATTAAGATCCCCTGGGGAGGCCCTGCTCTCAGTCCCGCCACTGTCACAGGTGCGATTGGCAGAGACGAGAGAGAGGGCCTTCTCGGTGATTGCCCCTGGCTATGGAACTCCATTTCTAGCGAGATTAGACCAGTTTCCACCCTCCTGTCCTTCAAAAGGATGGTAAAAACTTGGCTGTGGGACCAAGTTTTGGGGACAGTGCAATAAGGCAGCAATAGGAAACCTCACCATGCCAACTGGATTCAATGCAAATGATCAAGACGATTTTAATGTCGAGATAAATGATTTTAATGTTTATGTATGTGTCTAATCTATTTATGTCCCGGCATTGAATGTTTGCTGTTTGTATGATGTGCTCCACCTCGAGTCCCTTACAGGGTGAGAAAGGCAGAATATCAATGTTTTAAATAAATAAACAAATAAATAAGATGGGAGTCGTTACCTTGGGTGACCCCATCCTAGAGTTCATGTCCCTGTGTACCTCTCTGGGATGAACTTTGGAAAAAAGTGGCTGCTGAGGCCTTTGGAAAAAGTTGGTAGTAGGCCTATGTGTTGAGTTCCTGCCATTGCTTCTTTCTCGATTCTGGATTTACAAGCCACCATAAATCAGCCACATATTTCTTCAGTCTGTGGTCACCTACAAATCCTCAACTAATATCTTACTCCGTTCCTAAACGGCATCATACAGTATAGAAAGTTCCCATAAATTGTGCTTCAGGTGCCGCCACCACCAGCAGCAACTCCATCTCAAGGAGATCTGGATGTACAATTGCAAAACAAAGAATTCATGAAATACTGCCAGATGAGGATTCCTATTCCAAAGGAGGGGAATGGGAGGTATTTAATGTTGGAAAACATTTTTCCTGAGTGTTGCAAAATTCTGTTATGAATTGTAATGTAAATATCTGATATTTAGGGTGTATTTTCATTCACTGGACCAAATCTGGCACAAATACCCGATATGTCCACATTTGAATACTGGTGGGGTTCAGGGGGGATTGATTTTGTGATTTGGGAGTTGTAGTTGCTGGGATTTATAATTCACTTACAATCAAAGAGCATTCTGGACTCCACCAATGATGAAATTGAACCAAACTTGGCATGCAGAATCCTTATGACCAAGAGAAAATACTGTGTTTTCTGATGGTCTTTGGTGACCCCTCTGACACTCCCCTGTGACCCCTCCAGGTTGAGAAATGCTGTTTTAGACTGATGAAAAAATTCTTACTTTGAGGTTTATTTTGTGCAAAATTTGTGCATGCTTTTGCACAGAAACAAGCACATGATATATCAGATAGTATTTTTGTGCAGAGAAATATATATATATATGCACAAAATGCTGTTTTCTGTGCAGTTTGATCTCCGTGTGAATTTTCTGCAGAATAACTCTCAACTTGCAAAAATTCTGCAGTTTTCATAGCAAGATGAAAATTACTAAAGTAACCTGTTGCTTCCTTTTAAGAAGGAAATTAGTAAGAAATGTCTTACCTTGAAGTGTGGGAGGCCCACAGAAAGCAAGATGGTTCTGACCCACCCCTTGAGGGAGTGGGATTTGGAAACTCTTCTTCTGAGGAAGCAGCATAGACGGACTGTGAATCTGGGCAAAGGGAGAGTGGGCATTTTGGGATTTGGGAACGAAAGAGGTGAGGAGACCCCTTGCTCCCCAGAGAAACCCCTCTTCCTTGAGCTTGTCTGGTTCCCCCCCCCCCCAAAAAAAACACTCCATTAGCCAGAGAATCCTTGGAGGCATCCCTCCCTCCTCCTGCAGACATTTGCTTTACGTAAACCAGCCTTACAAACCACTCTCTCCATATTGATGGAGACATTATCACAAATCGCCACTTAGGGACCTGGAAGAATTGACTCGCTGGTTTCAGATCCAATACACATAACTCGATCAGATGCAAAGTTTAAATACACTTGGCCGGCAGATGCCAACTGCGCCCGACGATATGCCGCCAGATCCTTAAAGAGGCCCAGAGGGAGGCAAGGAAGGAGTAAAGACCTAGGTCAGGGCATTCCTGGCGGTGGCGGCGGTTTGGGGGGTTGGCTTAGAGGTGGGAGAAAAGTCAAACGTTGAGAGAAGCCCCTCGGCTCCACTTGTTTCCAGTTGGGAATTGATCTGGGATGTTTATATTCCCTTAAGGCCACTCTGGATTCCTTCAATGGCTAGTCAAGGATGACTGTGATCAGGGGGGTAGGGGGAGGCAGGAAAGCAACAGGGCCCCTTTATCCCATTCATGGAGCTGTCCAAGGTGCCTTCTATGCATGTGAGCCTCCAAAGCTCTGGTAGCTTTGGCATTCTCCTCATCCTCCACCATGGCCCACTGCCCACATCTGCCCCACGGAGTCCAGGATTCAAAAACATGGGTGTGGTGCTCCTCTCTGTTCATCTCTCCCCCCTTCTTCCCCAGGACCACTCATGAGCCACTTCATGATGGACACGAGCCATGTAGGCCTGATGACCTCTTGAGGTCCCTTTCTCAGAAGTGTGTGTGTTGGGGCGCCTGTGCCTGTGAGGTTATGATATAGGAGTCCTGAAATCATGAACCGCATCCCATAGACTCATGGTGTAGACCAGTGTTTCTCAACCTTCCTAATGCCATGACCCCTTAATACAGTTCCTCATGTTGTGGTGACCCCCAACCATAACATTATTTTTGCTGCTACTTCATAACTG